GGGGAGGGGCCACGGGAGCACGCAGAGGGGAGGGGCCACGGGAGCACGCAGAGGGGAGGGGCCACGGGAGCACGCAGAGGGGAGGGGCCACGGGAGCACGCAGAGGGGAGGGGCCACGGGGGCACGCAGAGGGGAGGGGCCAGCGTGGGGAAGCCGAGGGGGTGGCTGGGACTAAGGGATCTACACGTCAGTCCCATTTCAACCAGAACGTGGAGGGTGGCCGGGCACAGGGGCTCATGTCTGTAATCTCAGTGATGTAGGAGACTGAGATTCTGAGGATCACATCTGAAGCCAGCCCGGGCAGAAAAAGCTCATGAGACTCTGTATCTCCAGTGAACCTCCCAAAAGCCACAAGTAGGGCTGTGAAAAAAATAAAAGCAAGCCAGAGCACGAGGCCCTGAGTTCCAGGGCACCTTTTTTTCTGATACCTGATTGGTAATTGGCTGAACCCAGACATGCGGACCGCGCAGGCCCCTTGGGGCTGTGGAGGACTCAGGAAGATGACCCAAGCCAGGCCCCTGAGTCAGGGCGGTACCTGACATACAGTAGGCATCTATCCATTTGTCGGCCATCAGGGAACACTTCCGGCACCTACTGGATGCCCACTGCTGTCCCATCCTGTGCCCTGTGGATGGAGTATAAAACGAGACACATAAATGCAGGGAATCTTGGAATATGGGAATACTGGGGGGAGGTGGGGCAGGGCTGGGAACAGAGGACAGTTAAAGCATCTAGGTGGTTCTCTGGGGAAGTGATATATCTGAGCCAAAATTTGAAGGAAGTTAAAAAAAAAAAAAAACCACTTGGGGATTCTGAGGTTAGGAATGGCAGGTGCAAAGGCCCTGTGGTATGAGCGTGGTAGAGACCGAGCAAGCAGGCCTGGGAAGGTGGCTCAGTGGTAGAGCGCTTGCCTTGCATGCATGAGGCCCTGGGTTCGATTCCCCAGCACCACATAAGCAAAAAGAAAAAAGCCGGAAGTGGCGCTGTAGCTCAAGTGGTAGAGTACTAGCCTTGAGCTGAAGAGCTGAGGGACAGCGCCCAGGCCCAGAGTTCAGGCCCCACGACCGGACCCCCCCCCCAACAAAAAAAAAAGAGACTGAGCAAGCAAAGCTGCCAGGGTATGGTGCTCAAGGATCTCTTGTGTGCTCCTTTAGTCCCCTCTGAGGACACACCCCCAATGAACTCAGGACCTCCCGCTAAACTCCACCCCTTAAAGGGTCCACTACCTCCCAGTACTGCCGCACTGCACCAAGCCCCACAGCATATAAACCTTTGAGGTTCCAAGCAAACTTAAAGTGACCTCTGTTGCTGAGATGAGGCTAGGCACCGGGAGCCATCAGGCTGCAGACTTGGGGCTGGTGGCATTGTACCCACAGTCGTATACCAGAGAGGACAGGTGACCCCCGGGGGAGGGGGGCTGACTGGGTCCCTCCAGACACAGAGCACTGACCTGTGTGTCCCCCATCAGAAGAGGTCATCCTCGCTGAGGATGAGACAGACGTGGAGCAGAGGCACCCCTTTGATGGTAAGTTGCCCTGAAGCCCGTTTGGTGAGCGCCCAGGGGACCCGGGGGCTTGGTTCTCAGGGGACTGGAGAGGTGGACCCTGAGGGTCACTCAGGATGGCTTGAAGAATCGGGGTGGGGGAGGGCGGGGTCTGCCTTCCCGGGGACTTCAGGGACCCTGGGGCAATACTGACCCCGTGCGCATGTTTTACTTCCACATTTTCCCAGAGTATTATCAAGCAGTGGGTAGCACCCAGGTTAACGAAAATCACAGAAAATTGAAATTTCAGGCGGGAGTGCGGTGGCTCACACCTGCCATCCTAGGAAATGAGGCAGCAGAGATCAGAGGATTGTAGTTTGAGGCCAGGTTGACACCCCTCCCCCAATTTTTTTTAAGACTGCATCTTATCTAATGGCTGGGCTCAGTGGTATACATGTGTAATCCCCACCAAGAAGCCAGAGTAGAAGGACCAGCCCAGACAGAAAGCCAGATCCTACCTTGAAAATAAACAAGGCCAGCCCCGTGCTGGCGGCTCACGCCTGTCATCTTAGTACTCCGGAGGCTGAGATCTGAGGTTCAAAGCCAGCCCAGGCAGAAAATTCCCCATGAGACTCATCTCCAGTGAACCACCAGAAAACTGGAAGTGGGGCTGTGGCTCAAGTGGTAGAGCGCTAACCTTGAGCACAAAGAGCCTTAGATAGTGCCCAGGACTTGAGTTCAATTTTTTTTTGGGGGGGGCGTCTGGTGTGGGGCCTGAACTCTGGGCCTGGGCGCTGTCCCTCAGCTCTTCAGCTCAAGGCTAGCGCTCTACCACTTGAGCCACAGCGCCACTTCTGGCTTT